TAAAGTTTTCTTCATTACCCATTCAAGCCGTCTCCAGCCATTATTAGTCTCAAAGTGGGTTCCTCGTCATCGAATTAGAATTTCTCATATGTTCATTGACTCTACTAATAGATGGCGTTTGGTTTTTGCCAATATAGGAGGCCTTACAGTTTCCATACGTGTAAAGATATTCAAGCCATGAACAAAGAGAAACTGGGAAAAGGTCTTTAGTATGGAAAAAATCTTTTATGTGTGATGTGGATTTAAAAAATAATCTGAAATCAACTTGAAGGTGGTAACGCATTTAATTTGACTTTTTAAAGTTAAGTTTTGTTTACTAGTGTATGGAAGACAAGAATATATAGTAAGTTTGGTTACAGTTAGTAGTGTGGTTGGATTTGCGAGTTTCTTAGTTCAAAAGGTATTAGTACAAGTAATTTTTTTTGTAATAAATGTTGTGGATAGCCGTTAAGTTTTAGAATATCCTGTATGAAAGAAATTTCTGAGTGTAAATTAAGGAACGTGGAACACGGGTTATAAGCTGTTTAAAAAGCATCTTACAAGATTTATTTTGTACGTGAGCAGGATAAAGCTGTAAAATTGTGTTAGGAGTCCAGTAAACGTCTTTTTTTTCCTGTATATTGATATATCAAATCTACTAGTGTTACGGTTAATGAGGATATATATAAAAAAGTAAATTATTATCATTATTTTCAACCTCGCAAGTAAATTTAATTGGCGGGTTGTTGTTAGTTCAGGTATTGTAAAAACTTTGAGTAGTGATCCTTATTGTGATCTGGAATTATTAATTAAAGAAACCCTCCACATCAAACAACTTTCACCAGCACTGAATAACATAAGTCTTTTTTTTTAATTGCACATTTTTTATGTATAGTATTTTTATTTGTTACACCTCCACTTTCTATATGTTTTAGTTTTGATTAAATTATCGTTACTGCAGCAAGGTATATTAGTTATTTACTTAGGAATGATGTAATTCTTATATTTTGCTTTAGATACTGAAGATGGAATCTGTATAATTCCGAAACGTTTATCTGTGACCCCTTCTGTTATAAATATACAACATTGTTTATCTTAAGTATCGTTATTCATTTTATTGTGGTCCTCAAAGATTTTCGCGCTGGTCCTGTTCATCGGTGGGTCGTTCACGAGTTGTAGCTGTGTACAGACTCCTAAGTTCCAAAAGTGTTGATTTTACGTATCTTACATGTTGTCCTTCCTGTACGAGTTGGAATTGAGTATCATTAGAAAGGCCTCTAGGCACAAAAAAAAAGTATTAATTTTATATACCTCATAACTGGACCTTTCATGTTTTGGGACTAAGTTGGATCAGATGGGCCTGTAGAGCTATACTTTAAGGAGAAACAGCCTGACTGTCTTATCTATATGTACGTCACTGCTGTAGGTATAAGTAAATTGTATAAAATCGGTTCACCATTTTTAATCAGTTGTTTACCTATAATAAAAATCCTGAGTTCACCGATGGGACAGTTGTAAGTCTTTGGATTTATAATGCTGAAATTACCGGTTCGATTCTCGTCGGTAGACACAGCGAATAGACGATTATGGCTTTGTTATAAATGTTGAATATTTATTTGGTTCATACTTATGGTTGAAATTAACAGATAAAAAATAAAGTAAAAACTGTTACAAAAAATCAATACATTTTTTTTCTACTTTACACATGCACCTGTATATGAAACATATATTTATCTTTTATTCATTGGAAATTTTATTTTTCCTGACAAAACATTTCCTTGTTTTATACTAAACACTAATTTATTTGTTATTTATTAGAAACATTATTTTTCCGATGAAATACTAGAATCCGAGTTTCTATACCCGTGGTGGGCAGAGCACAGATACCCCATTGTGTAGATTTGTGCTTAACTTAAAACAAACAAACTGATGAAATATGTCTTTCTTTTTACTGTAATTATTTATGAACTAGTTCACATAGACATGTATTAAACTGAAAAATCAGTAATAATATTTGTTTAAAATACCATCAATTGTAACACACTTCATAAAATTACAGCAATATTGAAGAAAAGTACAATAACATTAAAATATACATGATACTTCCGTAAGCAGTGGTTTAAATTACTCTTTTGGATTACATATTTAATTTTGAACATAAAAATATAAAATAATTAAATGTTTTTAAATATTCGAAACCAATATATGTATCGTTGAAAATGTAGAACTTCAAGAGTATCAGTCCTCGTTTCGACATAACAAGATACAAGTTACCACCAGTTACTCTTCAAGTTCCAATTAAGTCTGATACTTTTTCTCAGTATTGTCAAAAATATTCACCTTTTAGATTTCGGGTTCTACAGCTTGGTTAATTTTACCAATCATCTTTTTTACATTGCTTTCAAGAACCAACTCTTCCCCCTGTTTTGGGCCTTGCGTTTTCTTGGTGCTCTCTGGAAAGTTAATTACACAGCGAAAGATGTCCAGTTTCGCTGGAAGGTAGTTCATTTCAAATATCCACTTGGAGAAGGCTGAGATTACCAACAAGGTCACCAGACTGACCAACATAGATAAAGTTTTAAAGGGAAAGCGCTGACCAATGGCTTCATCAAAGAATGGGTAGTGAATAACAGGTCGAAGTCCAATAATTTTCTCTCCACCCAAAACTCGAAGCGAAAAGCCTAGAATGTATGCGGCTAATGATCCATAAGTGTTGCAGTACGTTTTAAAGTGAATAACGCACAATAATTGAGGAAACAAAATCACAAACACGAGGTCAGAACATAAGTACCAAAGATCATAAATTGACTTCACAATCAACGCCATAGCTGTAGCTAGTGCTCCAACAATCAGAATAGAAATTTTGATAACCCATATTACTTCTCGCTCTGATGCCTGTTTGGAATAAAAAATAATAGTAATAAATACTCAAAATTAATAATTAAAAACGCTAAACCTTATTTGCATGTTTTTTCCTATCTCGAGTTCTTTAGACACCAATTCGTTTACAGTAAAAACTATTATGTTTTGTATTAAGAATTATTACTGGCATTAACAACGATTTTTTTTTTATTGGTTATTAATCACAAAGGGCTATCTGCGCGTTGAACAGCGTGGGTATGAAACCTGACTTTTAGCGTTATAAGTGCAAAGACTCGGAACTCTCGGAGCTTTAACGATTGAAAATGGAATGATGCGGATAGTATTTACGTTGTATTTGATAGTCATCATGACAAATTTTATTAACATGTAAAAATAGTTGTTAATCTTTATAGGTGGTTGCGTGATAATTAGCGGTGAGGTAGCCATAGTTTTTAATCATTCTAAGGTCGTTACTTGAAAGGCCCGGCATGGC